CTTTCCTTCCTTCCTTCTTTCTTTCTTTGTTAAAAATAAACAACTATAGGGGCACCTGGATAGCTCAGTTGGTTAAGGGTCTGACTTCGGTTCAGGTCATGACCTCACGATTTGTGGGTTCGAGACCCGCTTTGGGTTCTGTGCTGACAGTGTGGAGTCTGGTTGGGATTCTCTCTCTCTCTCTCTCTGTCCCTTCCCTACTCATGCTTTCTCTCTTTAAAAATAAATAAACTTAAAAAATATATTAAAAAAGAAAAAAATAAACAACTATATATTTATGTAGGTATAGATATATAAAAAATAATAGCATATTCTTTGGCACCTTGCTTTTTTCCACTCCATATTAATTCTCAGGGGTTATCTTCATTCTTTTTTTTTTATAGCTCTACTGTAAAATAATGTTGTATTGTGTGTGGGCATAGCAGGGTTCATTCAACCAGCCTCCTATTGATAGACTTGGGTGGTTTCCAATTTTTGCCATGGCAAATAATAATTTGACACAGAAAAACCCTTTTGTATATGTTTCTTTTCCTTCCTTTCCTTTTTTTAAAAAAAATAATTATAGCAGTTTGTCTCTTGGAGTAAATTCTTTTAAGTCAGATTTCTGGGTCAAAAGATATTTTGATAGATACTGCCAAACTCTCCTCTATAGGGGTTGTATGATTTTTTAAATTCCTACCAGCAATGTTTGAGACTTTCTCCATATTCTGGCCAAAAGAGTATGTTATTAAGCTTTTGAATTTCAGGAGTATATTTTTTCAAAAGTTTCCCAGGTAATTCTGATGTGCAGCCAGGTTGAGGACCATTGGCTTAGACTGTCAGCAATTCTAACAGACTGCAAAATAAAAGCAATGGTATAGGGGCACATGTACCCCAATGTTTATAACAGTGCTTTCAACAACAGCCAAATTATGGAAAGAGCCTAAATGTCTATCAAGTGATGAATGGATAAAGAAGATGTGGTTTATGTATACAATGGCAATGAGAAAGAATGAAATCTTGCCTTTTACAGCAACATGGATGGAAGTGGAGGGTATTATGCTAAGCGAAATAAGTCAATCAGAGAAAGACAGATATCATATGTTTTCACTCATATGTGGATCTTGAGAAACTTAACAGAAGACCATGGGGGCAGGGAAGGAGGCAAACCATAAGAGACCCTTAAAACAGAACAAACTGAGGGTTGATGGAGGGTGGGACAGAGGGGAAAGTGGGTGGTGGGCAATGAGGATGAGCACTGGGTGTTGTGTAGAAGCCAATTTGACAATAAATTATATTTAAAAAAAACACAGACAAAGGGGTTTGGGGAGTTTCTAGGTTGGTGAACACATAGAGGTCTAGGGGTGGAGACAGCATATTAGCTCTACACCCTTTCCCCATATCTCGCACTCTGCAGCTCTTGCATTCAGCTGTTCCTGAATTGTAGCCTTTATATCAGTAATAGCAAAAAAATAAATAAAAGCAATGGTGATGGTAATAGTAAAGAGTATCAAAAAATAAATTGAATAACTTCAAAGAATGAGATGGGGAACAAGTTATACTAACTTCATCCAAATTTCATTTCTCCAGGTTTTTTCTAGAAGCAAGAATTAAACATATATATATGGGATATATATATATATCCCATGCCAACCTTAAAACAGGTTTTGCCCATTTGGCATTATTTAATATACTTTGCTGGTATGTCAATGTCCCAGCTGGGTTGATGTCTGTTTAGGCATCAGCAAGGAGCATTTTTAGGGTACATGGCATCTTAGATGACTCATTCAAGTTAATATTCATCCAAACACTACCATGAAATGAACTGATAGAATCCAGGTACAATATTTTATAGGTTCAAAGACAGTCTTTTTAAAAAAATATTTCTATAATCAGTCTACATCTTACAACTGACAATATATCATAAATGGGCAGATTTTCTTCTCTCTTAAAGAACAACTTCTAGTAACTTTAACACGGAGTTTTAGAAATAAAAGCATAATTATTTGAAAAGAATCAAAGTGGCATTCTAGGAAAATTATATGCATGCTTTCTTAGTGATGCTGGGCACACACATAACTAATCAGAGTAGAAAATAATGTGGTTTTGGTCAGTTTCCAATGTCTCTGTCTATCCTAAGCCCTGTGGTAGTCTTGGGCCCTTCATTCTTTTGCCTCAGTGGCCCATCCTTCACTGTTCTGTTTACTCTCAAGCTGGTCTCTCACAATTGGCTTTTTGGGCTCCTTCCTTTTGCTCCAGGGTCTAGTTAATTTGTAAAAAATAGGGTTGACTGCCTTATCCCAAAAACTGTTCTTTGTCACAGCTACCATTGCATTATTTTCTCTGTCAGATACTGTGCTCTTTACCCATGTACAAGTCCACCTATACCCTAAGAGCAGCAATAATTTTCCTAGATCATGAAGAGATTCCAGCCTCAGTTGGCCTGCAAGGTCAGTAGACCCTCCCATATCTCCCCAGTGAAGCTGATCAACCATGACTGCTGCTAGACTGCATGGTCCCCATACAGTGACCATGTGCCATGGCTGGCATCACAGTGGACACTCATTTTGGTACAAGGCCCAGTCTGTCTAATATTATTAACAGTCTGGTGATAGAAAGTCTTATTGACAGCTGGGTCAAAACCCTTGGATGAGCAAGTTATATTTATTACATGGTTTCAAAAAGGAAGAGTGGGTTTTTTGACAGGTTTCAACTAGAAAGACTTCATCCTAAGAAAAATCAGAATGCCTTTTAATTGCACATTTAAATTTCCCTTTGTTCCTGCTGAACAAAGATGAGAGCCAAGCAGCTGGAATAAAACCCCTTAAAATTTGGAATTAACCTCTTTTCACCAACAATTTTCTATGACAGATTTTTAAAGTATGCTTTGCACCAGTTGTTTTATTTTTTATCTCTGCTGTTGTTGTTTGAAGGTACTATCACAGCAGTAGCCCAAAGTATTTGAAATATCATTAGTGAGCTACTAGAGAAAACTGAACAAACATGCTACTTACAGTTTTAAAGGTTATTTGAAAATTTTATTTGACTTGGGGCGCCTGGGTGGCTTAGTCGGTTGAGCGTCCGACTTTCACTTAGGTCATGATCTCGCGGTTCGTGGGTTCGAGCCCCGCGTCGGGCTCTGTGCTGACTGCCAGCTCAGAGCCTGGAGCCTGTTTCAGTCTGTGACTCCCTCTCTCTCTGACCCTCCCCTGTTCACGCTGTCTCTCTCTCTCTCTCCTAGAAATAAATAAAACATTAAAAAAAAATTTAAAAAAAAATGAAAATTTTATTTCACTTTCAAATTGTCAATCCTGCTCAGTTCATAATTAACAGCAACCCAATATCTAACTTGAATGCAAAAATTTTCTCAATTGACTCAGCCATATTTAGGAGATTAATTCTTATGTTGTTGGTTTCTTAACTGTTACGGAGATAAAAACGTTCTTTTGTATATGGATGTCCGTTAGAGCCTGGCTCTTTCTCTCTGATGGTCATAGAAATACAAAATGAAGTAAGAAATGGCCCCTGTTGTCATGAAGCTCAATCTAATGGGCAAGTCCATGTATAGATACATATGGATAGCAGATTAAAGGGTTAGAACAAAAAGGAGATCACAAACAAAGAGCAACTTCCAGAAGAGTGAAAGGGGAAGCTTTCCTGGAGAGGGTGACAGGTAAGAAATACTTAAGGGGTGCCTGGGTGGCTCAAATGGTTAAGCATCGACTCTTAATTTCAGCTCAGGTCATGATCACTGTTTGTGACTTGGGCTCTGTGCTGACAGCTGAGAGCCTGGAACCTGCTTTAGATTCTGTCTCCCTCTCTCTTCCTCACCCTCACTTGTACTCTCTCTCTTTCTGTCTCTCAAAAATGAATAGATGTTAAACAACAACAACAACAACAACAACAACACAAGACAGACGTAAACAGGAGTAGGAGTTGGCCAAGTAAAACTGGGAAGTATATGGAAGAGAGGTTAAGAAAACATTTCAGGTAGAGGAGACAGAATGTAAAGGACACAGGTAGAAAAAAGACTTGTGTAAAGATGCTGGAAAGTAAACTATAAGGCATGCAAGAGAAAGGAAGGAAACTAGAAATCCCTTCTTAAGAAGTCTGAACACAATTCTGTAAAGCAAGAATCTTACCAATGTCTATTGAGGTTTTATTATGTGCCAGTTCCCCTCCAATCAGGAATGTAACTGTTAACTTCTTAGGGGTGGTATAGAGGCGAGGTCAAGATCATATGCAGGGAAGCTGGTTAAAAGGTTGTTGTAAGGATTCAGACAAGTTCTGATCACTACAGAGATTAGGGCTGCCACATTTTAGTCTACTTTTGTACTATAGCTCCTGATAGTTAAAACTGACCAATTCTTGAGTTGCTATACTTTAGTTTTGTTTTTTATTTCTTCTTATAGCAATATCTCTAATAAGCTATTATAGCTTCACACTTGAGTGCAAGAAAGTAAAATGCAAAATATGGAAAAACTAAGAGAGAATCCAACTGTCGGTATGAAAAAGATAGACTGGGTAGGTATCAGAGGAGGCAAAGTATATAAATGCAAATATAATTGTTATAACAAATGATATAAAAGATATTTCAACAGCAAATTTGCTAAGAATTGTGTCAGAAAGAAAACATGACTTGGGATGTGCAAAAGAATTTTGCAGGCACTTTTAAGTAAATAATAATGAGAGCAGACATACAGGAATGGTTGAAAATCAATTTGGTTTGAGCTGAAGATTCAGTTTGGGTTGAATAGATTTTTTTTTCCTGGTTTCAAATGGTTGGGAAATGAAGATGGTGAAAAAACTCACATTGTCCAAATTTAGAGGGCTAGAAGAACTATAAGTCTCTGTTAGCAAGCAACAGAAAACCCAACTCTATGTAGCTTAAAAACTAAAGGAAATTTATTAACTAATGTAATTGAAAAGTACAGAGACAAGGCAGACTTCAGGCATAATCTGACTCTGACACTGTGATATTATGAGAGTTGTGGATGATTTTTTCTGTTTTGTCCTTCTAGGCATCAAGCTCATTTTCGGCTGGCTTCCATTATGGTTTAGAAGCTCCCAGGACCACATGCTTCCTCTTTTATTTCTGGGGTAAGGGAAACAACTTCTTGAGCAGTCACAGACTTAAAGTCCTGAACTTCAATTCTGTCAAGCTAATGACAGACATGTGCCTGCCCTTGAACCACTGGCTATAATCAGGGGGTAGTATGATGCAGATTGACTTGGGCTGGGCTCTGCACCCATCACTGAACCAATAGTTCTGACAAGGAGATGTCTTTACTTAAGTTGGCTCACGTCAATTAGGGTCAACTTCTGGTATTCTTGGTCAGATTTGATCAGATCCTGGCAGTCTTGCTCAGCCAAGGGGGTCAATGGGGGACTGGAATCCAGCCCACTATATGCTTTCCAAGCTATGCACTCTGGCACTGGGCTATATTTCCTGGAAGAAGGGCAATCTTTTCATAATTCTCATAAAAGCACAGTTCTTGTAGTAATAAATCTGAGTCTAACATCTACAACAATTTACATTTTGCCAATTTACATAGAGAGGTGTCTATGGATTAGCAGTAGCCATCACCCTGAAGTTGAGGGATCAATCCCAATTATTTTTGTATCTTGTTTATTTGCTTCTTCAGATCCAGGCTCTACCCTGCCATTTCTCCAAGAGTCTGACCTGCATCAATAGACTCCCTTATCCTTTGATGCCAGTTATAGAGCTCAAGGATGAGTTCAGTGTGGGTAGGCTGCATATGTCTACTGTAGGCCAAGCTCTTGCCAACAGCCTTTTCCACATGCATCTCTCTATCTCTGTCCTCTGTCACTAAGATCTGGTAACTGCTTCCACCTCTTGGGACTTCAAACCCAGGATGATATCAGTCCCTCCTTCTGACCCTGCTTTTCTTAACCCCTAGCTTGTGGTTTCCTTGACTTTCCCTTACCTTCACAAATAGTACCTGTGCTAATCTTTCCTCAAAAGGCCCAATTTGAGTGTACAATCTGTTTCTTGCTAAGATCCCATATGATATGCTTTGTTATGAGGAAGTACAGTGCTAAATTCTGGAATGAAGCCACAGTGCCCTCAATACCCCATAGACCCTTTGGTCATCTTCTAGTTCCCTGGAAGGCTGAGCTGTTTGTACAGGCACAAATCCAGGCACAACAGGGAAAATTTTACTTTGTAAAGATCTCCACCCTAAGTGCCAAAAGTCTGGAAGCTTAAGAAAGCTTGAGAAAAACATTGTTCTACACCATCTTTTACTCTAAACTTGTAGATATATGGATCTTTTAAACTGTTTATTAGAATGCTGAAATGTTCCAGATCAGTTCCGGTGGGAGGCTACAAACAGTATTTTATAAGGCAAAAATTGGAAAAAAGGAAATTAAAGAGCTTAGAAATCTCAGGAGAGCTCCTCCAACATTCTACCTTTTTCTGAGACCAGTTTTGTAGATGTCTCTGTTAATCTGGATTGGATACACCTAAATGAGAGTTTTTAGCTGAGAGAAACAAATGTTATAACTAAGATAAAGAATGCAATGTAAGTTTGTCTTGAAGTTTTTGTGATGCACAAATTTTCTAAGCCAAAATTTTAACCTGGTGAGCAATCAGTTCAGTGATGCCCTTAGCAGCAGAGAACCATAAATTAAAGATAAGCAACGGTTCAGACTTTCCAAGGCCTTGACTTAGAAGTAACTCCGGAGTCCCAACCAAATCTGCATTTGGTTAAGCAATTTGGCACAGTTTCCTACTTTGAAACATTAAACTATAATTACAAGTCATTCTTATTTCATTCTAAATAAATGTCCCTAACATAGATGTAACTAGGGAAGGCTCTTCCTTCTCTTTAAAGGGGAAAAAAAAAATCCACCAAATACATAAGACCAAAGTAAAAAAAAAAAAAAAAAAAAAAAGCAAAACATAAGTTGGTAAACCTGGAAAATTGTGTATATGGTATGTTTAATAGTATGATGTCGTACAAAATTGAATATGCTAGTGCATCAGGAAGATTCAAATATTCAAAGCATAATCTGCAGACAATGCTCATCAGAGGAAAAAAATTAAAGTTCTTCCGAAAAGTCAAAATAATAAAGGGTGGCAATAATTTCACCTCCTTTCAAGTATTTCCTTGATTAAACAATCCTTTCGCTATTTTGTTCTAACATTTGCTCTAAATGGTTCAACAAGAGTGGTGTTTTCTTAGTTGGAAGTATAAACTGACATGAGGAGTGGAGACAGGAAGGGCAGAAATTTATTAATAGTAAAAATATATATATCCTGCAAGTCAAAATGAAAGGGAAGAAACAAAAGGAAAGACAGATAGGCCTGGTAGAGAGTGACTGTTCTGCCTCTTCACCACAACAGACCAAGAGCAAATCCCTCTATATATGTGTCAGGTGCCCAGGCTAAAGGTGTATGGTGGACTAAATTATGTGAGTCTACCTGAAATCAGGATGATGAATTAGGGCACTTCTTTGCTCCATTCAGCTCTTATGATTTCATTCAGTGTCATTTCTTTTATAACTAAATGTCCTAATTTCTAATGTGATAGAAGTCAAAAAATAAAATGTATTTTCTGCTTTAGGACCATCTACAAGGTAGAAAGCTATTCACATATGGCTAAACAAAGAGATTTTACCCTATTTTCTATCACTTATCTAATGTTCCTATAAATACCTCACCCCCACTGTACTCCTCTGGGTGGCAAGGAAAGAGATAAGTATTGTCAGCTAATGGTTTTTGTGCTTCCTCTACTTTATACAGTCTGTTTAGATTTCAGATCTCTTTTTGGGGTAAATATTCCTATGAGTTCTAAGTTTGAGTCCTTATTATGGTGGTTTCTCTCTTTCTTTTCTTCCTTCCCAAGATGGTGTCTGTTTATCCTTATGATTTCCTTTGACGTTGGGAGGAGGAGTCACTTGGTCTCATGTGGTCTTTAGCTGGTTTCTGCCATAAGACAGCTGGTCCAATCCTTGGGTCTACCCATCTCAGGTGTGCTTTGCCAGGTCATGTTTCTGAGCATGAGGCTGAAATCTGTTGCTGAAGTAAGTCAGCAGTGAGGGAAGTCAGGATCCCTATGATTGAACACATACTCTTTCCAGTGTACATCTGTGGTTTTATGAAATTCCTAGAGGCTAGCATTGAGCCTGACCAAAGTGGTATTAGATAAATTTTTATACTTTGATATTATTAATCATAATTTTCTTGTAGTATTTCCAATGAAAAGTCAAATTTTTTAAAACTAACATATTGCCTAGTAGGTGTTTGATACTGTTGGTTTCTTTTTTTCTTTTTTTTTTATTTCTAGGAGAGAGAGAGAGACAGAGTGAACAGGGGAGGGTTAGAGAGAGAGGGAGACACAGACTCTGAAATAGGCTCCAGGTTCTGAGCTGGCAGTCAGCATAGAGCCCGATGCGGGGCTCGAACCCACGAACAGCGAGATCATGACCTAAGCGAAAGTTGGACGCTTAACCGACTAGCCACCCAGGCGCCCCTGATACTGTTGGTTTCTACTCTGCCTCCCAGTCTTTATAATTATTAGCTGTTGAGCAATTAACAAAATACTTTCTCACTTCAAACCTGCCAAGTCATAAGTATCCTATCACACAAGTGAAATGTACATTGTTTTATGAGTAGTGTTAATACTAGCAGAAAGGCAGTAAAAAATCCTCCAAGAATTAATGAACTCCAACTGTAATCTAAACTATCAGTTTGTTAAAACATAAATTCCTTGATTAGTTTTAGCATTATACTTCATATGTGTTTGTGTTTTAATTTTGTATTATTCTTTAAACATCAATTCAAAATTTTACTCTTGATTACTCCAGACAAAACCTAGCTGTTTTCTCCCAATTCTCTTGCCTGTTATTATATAATCACATAAAATACCTATAAATATGTGTTTGTACAGTTACAGTAATATGATATATACTTTTAAGTCCCCATTCCTCTTAATATTAAGCTTTATTTTTTAACTGCTAAAGTTATATGCATGAGTTTATTAATGATATAATATTTCATCAATAAGATATTCTCCCAAGAGATATTTAGGTCATTTCTTAGTTTTTCATGATTATACATAATATTACAATGACCACTTTTATGAACATGATAGAGATTATTCCCCTCTTGACTAATTTCTTAGAACTTGGGTTCCCAGGAATTGCTCACTAAGCTACAGAGAATGAGGGCTGGCTAGTTTTGACGTGTATCCCTGGGCTGTTCTCCAAAAGGACTGCATCTACATCAATGCCTACAGGATCCTGCTTTCCCAAGGTGGACTCTGCTGGCAACAGTTTAAATTTCAAGCATGAAAGAAGTTTCATGGGCAATTTTTTCTTCTAGGATGACTGGTCTTCTCTTATCAGAAGTCTTCTTTTCAATTCTAAATAAGACTTAAAATCTGTTTCTTCTTCAGCTAGTAGAATTCTTTTTTTCTTTCTCTTTTTACTTTAAGCATCTTTTATTTTCAAAGACAGCAAAGAAGATTAAAGTATTTTCCATGCCAAACAAAGGTGTTTTTTAATGTGCAATATATCTGAAAGTAATAAGCAAAACTTACTGAGCAATTACTCTGCTCTAAGCACTTTATGTAGTAACTCACTGAACCTTCATAACTACTCCACATTATTCCCTCTCTATAGATCAGATCACAAATACTGAACAGTTAAATAATTTGTTCTCTGTCACATACCTAGTAAGTGGTAGAGCAGAAACAGCAACTCAGTAAGTTTGATTTCAGAGTAAACACGCTAAATCACTGTGCTGTTCTGAAAATGACAGCAGAAACTAATGTCTACAAAGTAGCAGTTCCACAGAAGACATTTAGATTTAGATTGAGAATTGGCCAGAAAAAACAGTCCTTTTTAAATAAAGCTTTCCTCCTACTTATCCCACATCCTTCCCTGATACATATATGCAAGGACAGAATAGTGAGGAATATATAAAAGACAAAAAGACATTAATCTTTCTTACCTCCATACTTTTCACTCAATAAAAATTACCAAATAAAATATTAAAACAATTTTTCTATCAACAATTTGTGAGCCAAACTCTAATCATATTCTTCAGTGGCACCTAAAATCAACATGTGATATGTACAAAAATAATTTCTTTTGCTGCATCCTGAAGTCCAAAAAGAAGTTTACAAATGCTAGACCCAAGAAAGTTACAAATTATCTCTCTTAAAATTACAGTTCATTTTGTTCATTAATTACATGTTCTTTGAGGTTGTTACTTAGGATATAGTTGACTCCCCAAAGAGTAAAGCACTTTTGTAGATTAATGTCTGATTCTGTTTTTACCATTACATCTGACCAATTTTCCTTTGTGTGTTAAATATTAAGCATTCTTGTTTTACAAAGTAGGTACAAAACACAAAGAAAACAAGAACATAAAACAGCTTAAAGAGAAAAATCATCCACAATAAAAGTTATAATTTGCATTTTTAACTTTTAAAATGCATCTTTTTCTTATTTATATTATGTTCAGCTCAATACTAGGAGCTACTTTATTTATTTATTTTTAAGTTTGTTTACTTCTATTGAGAGAGGTGGGGGAAGGGAGAGAAAGACAGAATCCCAAGCAGGCTCTGCACTGTCAGCCGTGCAAGTATGACACGGGTCTCAAACTCACAATCTGTAAGATCATGACCTTAGCTGAAATCAAGAGTCAGATGCTTAACTGACTGAGTCATCCAGGCACCTACAGAAGGTACTTCTAGACAGATATTAGTCTATCTCATTCATTTTACAGATGAATAAACTGAGGCACAAAAAGTCAAGTTATGAACCTTAAATAAATCAATCTTTTCAGTGTTCTATCACTAGGTCAATCCAGTTAGAAAAACAAATAGCTAATGGGCACTTCTAGCATATACTCTGACACACCTGATGATTGCAACATAAGATATATAAAAACATGTTTCAGGAAAATTTTAGGTTTAACAGATATTCTGTTGTATAGTTGCTGTCTTGGGCTTCCCAAATCTGCAATTTGGCAGCTGTAGACAATTTGCTGAAGAATCATATCTCTGGCATTTCTCGTTTTCTCATCCAGGTGGCAAAATGATAGCCTACTTCTATGAATCTACTCATTTAGTTTGCTAGTATCTAATTAGAGAAGAAATGAACTGTTCTTTCTCTCACATCAGAAGTGAACTGACCAGCTCATGGTTCCTTCAACCAGGTGAGCTCTCAGTAGTGCTTGGCTGGCCTTTCTTAACTGAGTCAGCAAGTCTGTAGGAGCTGACTTTCACCGGGGCCTTTCAGGAATAGGGTTGTTTGAAAAGATGGTCTCAAGATCAGTGGAGGAAAATTCTGGGGCTTTTAGCTGCTAGTGGAGTTATGGCAAGCTATCGCTAATGAGACATGGGTTGTTGTTGTTATTGTTTTGTTTTGTTATTGCTTTAAATTTTTGTTTCCTCTCCAGCCCAATTTGGCTAAACTTTTGTAGACGCAGCCTCAGTATCTCTTATGAAGGCTCTATTGTGATATTCTGGCAAAGTTATATTTTATGCTTTACTTTCTTTGTGCTTAATTGGTTGGACCAGTAAATCATTTAAGGATCATTTTTATTATGATTCTATTATATTTGTTAGAGCGTGGCTTCTTCCTTCACATAATGACTTTGGTTTAGACAGCTGAGGTGAGGGTGAGTGTGAAATAGGCATTATAGCTGAATGGTTCTTAAAGAAGAAAAGCGATTTGCTTGTGAAAATGACACATGTATACTTGATATAGGTATTGACTAGAATAAACGTCTAATTGAATTTATTCTAGCTCTTTGGCTCTTTTTTAAAAATATAGCTGAATGAGTACTCATATTCATATCTACGTTTTCTGGCACTAATTTCTTTGTGTTTGTACATTTTCTTCTTGTCTAACAGATATAAAGAGCAGGATTTTTAAATTCTGTCCTATGTATTTTCACAAGACACATTTTTAAGCTGTATGTCATTGTTCAATACATGTGATTTATCTTGAGCCAATGAAGGATTTCTGCTTCCTTACACCTATAGATTCTGTTATGTGTGCCTAAATGATCAAAAGTCGATCATTCAAAATAACTTCATTTGCATGTGATTTGATTAATGATGTCAGCATTACTTTATATGTCTAAACAGTAGAGCTAAAATATTTTTTGTTACTTTGTTCTTACAGAGGCTACATTTTATTTATTTATTTATTTATTTATGAATGAAAAATGTTGCCTGTGTGAATGGCGCTTGGTCTGAAGACTGCCCTTATGTCTCTCTTTGTCCCTGTATACGTCTTTCTTTCTCACTCTTTCACACACACATATCCTAAGTTAGTTTTTTTTAATAGTTTATTGTCAAGTTGGTTTCCATATAACACCCAGAGCTCATCCCAACAAGTGCCCATCACTCCTCTTCCCCCCCATCAGCCCTCGGTTTGTTCTCAGCATTCAAGAGTCTCTCATGGTTTGCCTCCCTCCCTCTCCCCCACTATTTTTCCCCTTATTCTCCCCCATGGTCCTCCATTAAGTTCTTCTTAATCCTCCTATATGTGCAAACATATGGTTATCTGTCCTTCTCTGCCTGACTTATTTCACTCAGCATAACACCCTCAAGGTCCATCCACGTTGCTACAACTGGCCAGATTTCATTCTTTCGTATTGCCATGTAGTATTCCATTGTATAGATAACCCACATCTTGATAAATTCATCAGTTGATGGACACTTAGGTTCTTTCCATATTTTGGCTATTGTTGAGAGTGCCGCTATGAACTAGGGGCTACATTTTAAGTTTGAAAACATTCAGTGTTATCGTACCTTGTATTTAAAGAAGATAATGCTTTCAAATATGTCTATGATGGTAACAGAAAATATCCTTACCAGATAGAGATGCATATTGAAGTATTTACAAGATAAAAAAGAAAAGATTTGCTATCTGGGATTTGTATTTAGATACTCAAGGAACAAAAAACTTAGGGGGAGATTAAAAAGAATTGGCAAAATGTTGATAACTATTGAAGGCAGGTGGTGAATGCATGCATTTGTTTTATTATATTAAACTTTTTCTGCTGTTTTTGATGTTTGAAGTTTTCCAGAACAAAAGAATGTGCCACTTCCAGGCACATTCTACTTCTACCTCTTGCCTCAATGAATTATATATTTCCACTGTTAATTGAAGATAACCTGTCATCTTATCTCTCTCATGCCTTTAAAACTTTAATTTATTTCTCAAATGCTTCCCTGGATTTGAAGTAAGAAGCAGAAACATACACTTGAAGTCAGACTCTACTTTGAATCTTTATCCTGACTGTAAAACCTTAGGACAATTAACTTTACCTCCTTCATCTCAAAGTCTTCATCTGTAGAAGGGGGATAATATTTTCATCACCTGGCTGTAGAAATTAAATGAGATTGGTACCTAACATTAAATGCTATGGATTCTTGAGGAGACTGGGTGGCTCAGTTGGCTAAGCCTTCGAATTCGGCTCAGGTCATGATCTTACAGTTCGTGGGTTTGAGCACCGCATCAGGCTCTGTGCTGGCAGAGAGAGCTGGCAGCTCAGAGCCTGGAGCCTGCTTTGGATTCTATGTCTCTTTCTCTCTCTGACCCTCCCCTGCTCACACTGTCTCTCTCTCTCAGAAATAAATAAAACATTAAAAAATTTTTTTAAATTAAAAAAATAAAAAAAATAAATGCTATGGATTCTTAATATTAAGCAAGTGATAATTTTTAAAGGTTATTTTTTTATTTTTATGTTTTAATGCTTATTTTTCAGAGAGGGAGAGAGAGATAGAGAGAGAAAGAGAGAGAGCGAGCGCAAGCAGGGGAGAGGCAGAGGGTGGAGTGAGAATCCCAAGCAGGTTCAGTGCTGTCAGTATTAAGTCCTACATGGGCCTGATCCCACGCACTGTGAGATCATAATCTGAGCCAAAATCAAGAGTTGGACTCTTAACCGGCTGAGCCACCCACGTGCCCCAGGTGATAATTTTTAATAACAGATTGTGAATGGATGTTAGTAATACCAGTGGTAGTAATTACTGTGGTTGTTACTATTATCTTGGAGTTAGTTGTATGAACCTAAGGTCTACCGAGAAGGGCTTACTTCAAGGTAATTTATAATAGCAATCTGTTATCTGATGTGTTTTATTTTCTTTCATAACCTTTCAGCTCACCAGTGCAGTGGATTGCCTCAATACACTATGGAGATTTCGGTGGAGAAATATGCGTCCATCTGCTCAATGCTACCTGCTTTCTGAAACCCCTCTGAACTCCTCCAGAAACAATTAGAATTTTCCACTGTATTCTCTTAGTCCTTTGCTTATGTATGAGAGCACTTGCCCAACATTAGTATAAGTATTTAATTTAGGGATCTGACTCCCAGAGTTCCGCATCTTGTCTAAATTTCCACAGTTTTAATTCTCCCCTTACCTTGCTCCCGGTGCTATCCCTGACACACAGTAGCTGCTTAAAACATACATAGGATTTCCTGCCTGAATAAATAAATGACTCTTCTTATTTACTGAGAGTTTCTTTTATTTTTTGACAGCTCTATTAGGCCTAAAAGATCAAAGTCCATAGCTATATCTTATGTTCCATTTATATCACTCAACATTTATGTTTTATGATAGACTGTGGGTGATTCTTCTTACATTTTTGGGAAAGCTTGTCACCATTATTCCATTTTTATAAACAACAAACTTAACAATTGAAAAACAGAGCATTCAATTTTCTTTTTATCTATGTTAAAAAACATTTAGGGGCAAATATATGTGTCTACAGGTCTAAAATGTTAATACCATAAATAGGCATCAATTTACCAATTTATGCTGGTAGGATAAGTCTTGTGAAAACTTACATGTAGTCAGATACTAAGAAAAAAATATATCAAAATAAGTCAGTCAAAGTTTCCTATCACTGTCCTTCCTGATAACTTGGCCCATTTCTCTAACTGTAGCATTTTAAAAAAACATACTCAGCCTCCTGTTATTATGAATAACCACCTTTCTGGCCAGACTCTTAATAAATTATAGGGCTAGACACATCAAGGTAGCTCCAATCCTCGTTAAATGGAATTGAAAACACCAGAGCCCAAGATTAATGGGAAGTTTACAGAATAGTAACCTAGTAACACCAGTCAAGCAATTGCACTCTAGTTACCTTTTATTTTCTTTGTCAAACATTCTGTGATGCTATCTTATGAATCATTTTATACTTACTGAAGGAGTGTACCACATCTACAACATCATAAAGATTCTAAGAAGGAAATCACAGGTATATAGTTGAATCCTTATTAAAAAACTATGGGTAGATGTAATAAAATTGGGGCCAATAAATAAAATTGCTTTGCTGACCATTAGAAGTAAATGATGCAAAGAACTTGCCTGTTTAAAAAGGGTGTTTCTTCCTATAGTTCTTCTATTTGCTCACTGGAAGTTTGAGTGTATTTTATTATGAGTAATTGGTTTTCAATAATAGACACCAAAGCCTAAGATAGAAATAGTCATCTTCAAGTTCTCCAAATACATAAAATGACCCTGTGGAAAATATACCAAACCATTTATTACTGACAGGAGTATTACTTGAAGGGGTATATATTTGAAGAGGAGAAAAAAATGCAAATTTGTGAAGTACCTTTATCTCTTCATTCATTCCTTCAACATGTAGTTTTAAAGTACTTACTATGTGCCAGGAAATGTGGAATACTGTAGGAACACAGAAGAGCACAGAAAAGATGTTGACTCTGCTCTCATGAGGATGAGAATTTAGAAGGGAAGAAAGCAGACAAACTAGCTGGCAGTAACATTATATAAACACAGTAGGCATAAAAGGAAAAGTCCAAAAAACCATGAAAAGAGAGGAAGCGATTTTAGGAAAGTCTTTCCAGAAGTAACCATTGAGTAAAGTGTTAGTTAATCGATAGTGGATGGAGGGATTGAGAGAAAGATGAATCTAATGAAGAAATGACTTCAGCAGAGGCACTGAGAAGGTGGTGCTATTGAATTATTTAAGATATAATTTAGAAGGTGTTGGAGTACCAGAAGGGAGGTAAGATGGCAGGAAATGAAATGGAGAGATTGGCAGAAGCCACACTATTTAAGGCCTTTCTAGTAAGTACAGAAGACTATAATGTGAGAAACTCTTTACCAGAAGTAGAAAATTTGTATACATCTACTCTATGCAAAAATTTATTTGATGTGTAATTATATACATTGATGCACATAAAAAACAATAGTCACAATCATCTTACCTATTCCCTCTTGCTGTCCATCTGGGGAATTTTGGAGCCTAAGGAAATCTCTATGCACAGCAAGAATTTGGGCTAGTCACAAAGGAGATTTCACTATACACATTTTATGAACAAGGTCCACTTATCAGCATATTCACACTAATTCATTCAGTTAACAGCTGCTAATTGTTTTGTCTATGTGAAAGAGGGCCTGGGAAGATAGAAGGGATGAAACTAAACACGAGAGGTAAGGAAGGTGACCCTGAGATTGATCATCTATTCCTGCCAGTCATATCACATGCATTAGTTTATTTAGTTTATCTAGAAGTTCCTTGCAGTGAGTGTTAAGAGGTGCATTTTAAAGACGAGGAAACTGACATTCAAGTTTAAAAGACTTGTCTCTGTAAATAGTGCCACCAGGATTCTAACCCAATCTGATGGACTCCATTTCCCTTTCCATTATTACATTGTGGACCTGTCCCTAAGTTGTCTCCCTCTTTCTCAATCAGATACATCACTGAGTTCAATGAACACTGTGCCTCTGGGCAATGTTCTCATGTCAACAATTAAACTTGCCAGAGTCTAGGACAAATGGACAAATGGAGAAGTGGGGAGAAGTCACAGGGGTCTTGCTTAGGAGCACAAAAAAACATGGCATAGGAAGGGATCTGGCCATAACAGGGGTGAGAGTGTGAGAAAAGGATGACCTTACATCAGACTTTTTCTGGGATGGATAATGTCTTTTAAATTAAATATACTTGTTAGGTAGAACTAACCCATAGATAAGTAGACATAGGCTTATTCTACATTATGCACACCACATTATGTTCTTTCCTGCACACCCCAGTCCCCTCAGGGATGTGTCTGTTAAATCACTTAAAAAAATCACAAAGAAGAAGGCTGAGAAGGAAGGGTAAGGATCCATCAAAACTTAGTAAGCACAGGAGAGAGGCAAGCCCACCATATATCAGCTCTTCAATCAACAAATGTTGATAAGCAGAGATTAGAGGATGGTGGAGTAGAAAGAGGGCAGAAATTCTCATTCCTCTCTCCTTTCCATTCCTGCAGCATAAAACTGCAGTGCTAGAGGCAGATAAAGACATTGTAAATCTTGGAAGACTAGAGTTCCTAGAAGTGTTTCTGAGATAGGGACGGAAAGTTGGCCAGGAAAACCCCAAATATGGGGGGTGATATTGAGGGTGTCACACCGACATGGATGCCTCTGAGAACAAACAGTTGATAAGCATCTGTATATTTAGAAGTATTTTTCTGTTTGACTTGGTTTTTAAGAAATCAATCTTTGGCAGAATACATTTCAATTTCTTTCTTTTGTATAATGAATAATTGCTTGGAGAGACCTGTACTCTGCAAATATCTACAGTCCACAGAACCCTTCCTTCTACTTCTCTGATAGAATGAAATAGCCGCAGTGACGCATGTTGTTTATCTAGTTTCCACAAAAAGACTACAAGATAGCCGGTGAGGCCTACAGAGCTTAGTAAACAGATGTAACAGAGCCTTGCTCTGTTGCTTCCCCTTTACTTTCTGATGGTGCTGCAAATGACTCCTTGCCACTAACCACAGGAGTCACATCTCTCGGTTCTACTTGGGAATTTTCTACTGTCTCTTCAGCCAAAAACTTGGAGAGATTTTTGTTTTCAGTGTTGTATCTGAATGTCTGTTGTCATTTTCATTCCTTGACTCTGAATCATCTATACAAATTCTCCACCCTCTTTGAAGAAAAATGTGTGGTGCTGCTTTCCTCTGATGTGTGATGTCAGAGAGAACTAAATTTAACCAGGCACAATTATCCACTTTGACCACAGCTGTTGGCCAAACACTCAAGAATCTGATGGCCAAAACTGTCTCAGGATGCCAACATTGTCTCTGAGGATGGCAAGCCTTACTTTGCATTTAAAAATTTCCTTGTAACAAAAAGAATTGTGTGTTCACCCAGTTATGAAAGTGCATGTGCTATGTAACATGTCCCAAAACCAGTGAGTTTTCAAATGTAATCAGAGAACTCTAGGCATTTCTAGGGGGAAGCTATACAAGAAAACCTGTACTTGAAAAATTGTCCCTTCAGGCACTACTAGGATTTAAGCTTAATAGCAATAAAACTTTAAGATAAAATGATTTTCAAAGCTGCTTGAAAATCACCAGAGCCTCTTTATTATATAATTTTTCTAGTTATCTCTTGTTCAAAGTTCATTTTCATATCTTAAATGGATTTGTGGTATTATTCGAGGCAGATAAATTATCATCGAAGAAATCTGTTGAATATCAGTGCCATACAAGTAAAGATGCAGTACTGAACCTGATTTCTTGGCTTTCAGTCTAAATTCAGTGATTATAAACACAAAAAGAAGAGTGCAATATGCCTGAAGGAAAAAGAAAGACAGTTGGTGATTTTCATCTTCAGTGATGAAGGTGATTAATACATTATCTATGTTTATCAATTCTAAACAGAAGCTGAAATGTGTAAAAACCTTTTATCCACAAAGACGTTCACTGGATTGTTATTTACAAATACAGAAGCTGAAATTTTGTCTAAATGTTCATCAATGATGTAATATTTCAATAAATTATGGTATATTTTACATGTTGGATATTACAGCAATTTAAAATGATGTTTTATAGAATTTGTAATTACATGAGGGGAATGCTCAATGTTAAGGCTCTATGAACATGAATAGATTGTAAAAATATATACAGAATTAAGACCTCACTGTATACATAAATCTCTATGATGAAAAAGTACTGAACTTGAATTAAAAAAATTTTAATTGAATTTTTTCCATTCATTCAACTTTTTAGTATTTCCTATTATGAAGCTTTAATATAAAGAAAACTTTATAGGGGCACCTGGGTGGCTCAGCTGGTAGCAATCAACTCTTGATTTTGGCTCAGGTCATGATTTCGAGGTTTGTGGGATGGAGCCCCACATTGGGCTCTGTGCTCATAGCATGGTGCATGTTTGAGATTCTCTCTCTGCTTCTCCCTTTTCCCCTCTCCCACTCATGTGCGTGCACTCTGTCTCTCTCTCTCTGTCAAATAAATAAACTTAAAAAAAAGAAGACTTTATATTAGAATAGGATAACTTTTGAAGGTATTTAAATGGAAAATTTCCAAGCCCTCTGCTTTTCCTTTTGTTTCATCAGTCATTCACCCACCAAGTTATAAAGTAAAACTACTTTGTTAAAAGATAAAAATCCCAGCTTTAGTTTTGGTATGACCAGGATGTAAAAA